GATGATTTGTGGGAATATAAATGAAGTTTTGACAACTAAAAGGATCTTATTTGATGCATGACGGTAAGCTAGGGTGTTAACACTCGACGCTAGGCCGCTATTTGTTAATAAATGTTACTATGACTATTATGATCAAAATTGATAATATTCTGAATAAATGATTATTATAATAGATAATGGATTATCATTGATAATAATATTGATTATGATTATCAAATGGACGACCCGAGTGATTATGACTACATAACGATCATGATTTTATTCTAACAAAATAATAGTGTATGGAATTAAACGAATGAACCGTAAAGATGAAATTATGAATAGATATGTTTGTTTGACTATCTTGAATTAAATTATGATTATGAATTATTGAAACATAATTCAAAATGAATATATTGATAAACAAGAAAATGATGTGTATTGTTAAGGATATCTAGAAGAACTTTAAGATATACCCATTAGCTAATTAATGTTAAGACTATCTAGAAGACCTCTAGAATAGATCTTAGAATAAACTTATGAAAACATGAATAGTTGATGAATTAGATATAAATGCATAAACGGGATTCGTAGACCAAACTAGAGGATTACTCGTTGGGAATGCCCAATCCAATGTTGACCAATCGCTATATTATTGTTGCCCTAACTGACTACAGTTAAGTGTCCGAAATCATTTGCCTTAAACTAATGATAGTTTAAGTGTATGATTGCCTTAACTGACTACAGTTAAGTATCCGAAATCATTTGCCTTAAACTAATGATAGTTTAAGTGTCTGATTAATAATTGTCTTACTAAGAATAGCTAAGAGCATTATTATGATCTGGCCTTAGACTAAGAATAGCTAAGAGTGTTGTTATGATCTGGCCTTAGATTAAGAATAATTTAAGAGCACTATTGAAATAGTATCTGAATTGAATAAAATGTGTTGATATGAACTGAATAATATCAAAACTGTGAATGTTTGAAATGAACATTGTGTGCATGATATCAAATGATTTGATTATAAATTTAGATTCAGTTTATATGGATGTTCGACACATTAGATATGCTTATTCAGCTTTACCGCTGAGCATGGAGTGTGTTTTATTTGCTACACGCATGTAAACAGAAAGAACAATGTGATCCTGGTGGCAGATGGGGCGAGATTGTCGGGATGGATGTGACATGTTTGAAATGATTTATGATATGTCAATATTAAATTCGCTTCCGCAATATTGTTGAATACTCCGTACTGTATATGTTATGAAAAATATTATTGGGATTAATAAAGTGTGTTTGAAAAGTTTTAAATTTTTAAGATTACCAAGTTAAATACTTTAGTCCGAATGGGGCTGCAGACCTGGACGGATTAGGGTGTTACACAACTCAATACCAATATGGTCATAATTCAATTCCCAAATACTCCCTCCGTCCCAGAGTATTCGTCCAGTTTTGACTTTTGGAACTGTTCATCTAAGCACTTTGACTCATCAAATTCTCTCAATGTGTAAACCTAAATATAGTCATGTGTGATCTTGTTTGATTTGTCTTAACATATAGATTATTAATATATAATTTCTATAATTTTTTAATATACAAATTGGTGGTCCCAAAGTGGTGAAATACAAAGTCGATCTAGAGGGGAGGGGTGAATAGACTTTGTTGTAAATGAAAAACATTTTCGTTTCTTTTTGAAAACGTGAAAATGAGTGTTTAATCTAGAGTTCTTGTGAACCTTAGATTAAGTGCGGAAGTTGGTGGGTAATTGAGCAGTAACCAATATGGATGGGTTAGTTTTCACAGTTAATATAGTAGCAAGTATGAGTAAAGATAAAAGAGAGAGACACGCAAACTTTAACGAGGTTCGAAGGTGGGGTAATCCATATACGTCCTCAAAATCCACTATGTAGTTGGTTGTTGAATAATGAACCAACAATTACACTTGTGTGAATTTCTGCACGGTATATCTTCGCAAGGCCAATGTTGCTACTGCACTCGTGCTGGCTTTGTTGTTCCTTCGAAGGTCACGCTTCTTCAACAACTGCAAGATCCGAACAATAGGACTTGCAAGATCAACTTGTAAGAAAGTTGATGTACCCCCTTTTTAATCAAGAAGTTTGTTTAAAAGTTATATCCTTCAACGTGGTGTGGTACTTGAGGCAAGGAAACCTTCAAGTTTTTACACTATAGTTCTTTGGAAGGAGGAAAAGTTTGCTTCTGGATAATGAGTTTAGAAATCTCTCTTTATCAAGCTTTTTGGGCTAACTGTGAATGTGATAGCTTTGTAGTTTTAGATTGCCTCGTTGTGTTCTCTGCTTTCTATCACATATATTTCTCTAGTCTTCCAAGGATGCTATATATAGCTGGATTGGGTAATCTAGCCGTTGAATCAAAATAGACTATCCGTTGCATTTGCTGGCTTCAATTTTGAATGAAGATTGTGATCGAAGATTCATCATTGGAATGGGTGTTTGGACGTACCCAATTGTTTGAGGATGGATTCCTTTTTCCACAGAATCCGTCTTCTAGCGGTTGTTCAAGAATTCTAGACTGTAGCTCCATACTCAGTTTGTCATCTAGTGCTTGTTTAGGAATTCTGGGCGAGCTCTTTAATTTGAGAGATCCAGACTTTGTCTTTAAGTCATTTGTTTTTGAATCAGCATAATTATCTTTAATCTAGCCGTTGAAAATCAAGAGATTGATTTTTCCTTACCAACGGGTAGAATTTTTTCATTTAAGACTTAGATAATTTTCTAAGTCTTTTTCTCACTTGTCTGCTTTTGAGAATTCTGATCTTTCTTTGAGGCATCCGGTTCTTTGCTCACAAATCCGGAAAAGTCATTCATAGACTTCCAGGTGAGAAGAGATCCGCGCTAGTCTTCCGATTCGGATGACATAGCCTTCAGCAGGTGGTAGCGAGACGTCCGGTTATCATGTAGTGTTCCGGATTAGAGAATCTTCAATTGCTTTGAGAATTCCTTACTTGTCTCTGACATTTCCGATCAAGATATCGAATTTCCATATCACTGAATTTCATTAAGTCTTCAATCATTGACATCAAACCACAAAGTGAAATATCACAAATTTATTGGATATCTCAAGAACTCGGTTTTAACAATATTTCTAAAAAGAAAAATTACATTGAATATTGGGGGAGACCTAAAGTCCCTATTACAATCTAAATACATCATCATCAAAATCTATAATATTTTTCCCAACAATTTCCCCCTTTTTGATGATGACAAACAAGTGTTTAAGAGTTCCGGTCGCTGTACTGAGAACTAATTTTATAACTTTCTTTTANCATTGACATCAAACCACAAAGTGAAATATCACAAATTTATTGGATATCTCAAGAACTCGGTTTTAACAATATTTCTAAAAAGAAAAATTACATTGAATATTGGGGGAGACCTAAAGTCCCTATTACAATCTAAATACATCATCATCAAAATCTATAATATTTTTCCCAACAATTTCCCCCTTTTTGATGATGACAAACAAGTGTTTAAGAGTTCCGGTCGCTGTACTGAGAACTAATTTTATAACTTTCTTTTATTGTCTCATAATATACAGCTTGTTAACAAAAACTCTTAAACAAATACAATTCAAATTACAATAATTCCTAAACCAAGTCTTGTCTTGAGATTTGTGATATTTTCTGCCATTTGCTGCTTTTATTTCCAGCGGATTTTGCTTGGAAGTTCAGATGGCGTTGCGTTTGATAGATCTTTAATATCCAAAGTGGATATTTGAGATCTAGGAAGCAACATATCTCCAAAAAGCAAAAAGAAAAAGAAAAAGAAAGTGGGGGGAAAGGAGGCGGCGGTGGAAGAAAAGAAAAAAGACAGAAGGACAAGAAAAAGGTTTTGAAAAAAAAATTGATTGTGAAAAAGATAAAATAAGGGTTTCTAAAGATGAAGGAAAAAATAGATTTTGAAAAAGAATTTAAAGGATAAATATGGTGAAAAGAAAAAGAATTTTGAAAAATGCTTGAGAGAAGGGAGCAGAGGCTGCACAATAAAATTGTTTTTGAAAAAGGCTTGGGAGAAGGGTGCAAAGACTGCAGAAAAGATTTAAAATTAATTTTAAAATAAAAAGAAATAAAACAAATAGAGAAGGGAAGAGGATGAGATGAAAGTAGGCCAAGAAAAATTTTAAAAACAAAATTTGAAGACCAAAAAAAAGGGAAAAAGATGAAACAAAAATGGAGAGAGTGTTGTTCCTGAGAAGGTGTATGGTGAAATCCTGAAAAATACGAGATTTTCACCATATATCTTCTCTACTACCGAGATTTTCACCATAGACCTTGAATGTCTTTTCTTCTCATTAGGCTTTCTTTATTGCCGTCTATGAGGGTGAGAAAGAAAAGTTTCTCCATTGAGGATATTTTTCTTGGTGTTTTTTTCAGACAGTGAGTTTGAAGACTTTTCATGTTGAAAGAGCTGTTTGTGATAGGAATGGATTGAAATGTCTTGGTTTAAATAGGAGGAGAGGTTGAGAGAGGGAGGTTCACGGGTTCCATTTAGTGGGTAGTTGGAACGGTGAGAGTAAAAGAGTTTCAACTTCCAAGAAGTTGAATTTTGAAAAGTTGAAGGAATCTTTTACCGGTTACCAAGGTGTTGAAATTGTTCCAATTACAATCAATTTTGTAACTGTTCTGGTTTAGCTAAGCCCAAAAGAGTGGCCCAAAAAAAAACTATGCACTAAACGAAAATTATTCCTATTGGTTTCTCAAGGCCCAAAATAAAACTATCATTTTTCATTCCCTATAGTTCTAATTTCTAATTAGGACGAGGTAGTACCAAAAAAATTTTTTAATTTATTTTTAAAGAAAAAGTGGTACTATTTTTCCAAAGTCCTGTACATTATAAAAATCTTAAGGACCAGTACTTTAGATTAAAGTTGGAAATGAACTAAGGATTAAATCTTAGTTTAAGAAGGCAGATTTTGTAAAGTACCTGAATCGGAGATCTCCAACTTTAGTACTTAAACTGAGGTATCCGTCTTCCATTGCTTAGAGTTCATCAATAGTTCATTACCAAACACAATTGTTAGCCAAATACAGTTAAGTTCCCCCTGAATTATATTCCCCCGGAATGTATGCGCTCAATGATAAATCCCAAAAATTATACTTAAAATGAATATGATCAAGTATAATTGAGAGAAGTATTAAGCAATGTTTAAACCAAAACTCATGTTTAAACAAGAAAGTGTTTTCATCAAAACATAAATAATGTTTTCAATACTTCCCCCTGGTTTGATGAAAAGAGCCTTGACTTCTTCTTGCGCTTAGATGATCCGGTAATCTCACCAATGCCTTGCATAACTCCACATTCTTCCTGTATGCGCTTGAGGTTGTTATATCTTTCTTCTGTCTGGGCATTATTTGTGAAGTGGGAGACAATGGTTCCTACAACTTCTGTTCCATCAAACTCAGTGTTTGATAGATGTTGGATTGAGTTCTCTGGATTGCTCTGCTGGGCTTCAAGTATCAGCTCCGTCATGTTCAGATGTGATGGAATGTATGAGAGTTCTCCTTGTTTAACTTCAATCGGAAACTTTGGAATTTGAGATGGACTTCTGGGTTGGACAATCACTTCCAGCTTGTGTTTTCCAGTGAAGGTACCAAAGTGTCTGAAGAGTCTGAATGCTTCCTTCTGATTGTCAGCAAGAACTTTTAGGTAATCTTGAGTTACCACCTGGTTTGCTGATGACACTGCCAAGGCAGATCTGATATCCATCTGGAGGAGTGACATCTGCTTCTGAAGGTTGATTGTGACTGTGGCAATCTGCTGCTTGATTTCAGTGGCTTCTTTGAATTGAAGGTGGCAGTCATATGCATAGGCCATCATTGTATTGCTCACAGACTTACTCAATAGAGAAATGATTTCTAGAGTTTTGTCTACAGATTTGCTTATCTCATTGAGATTTGAGCAATACCTTTCTTCAGATATCTCCATCAATTTGGTGTGCCTTGCTTCCATCTGCTCTATCTCTTGCCTAAAAGAGGCATGTTGAGATTCTAGGGCTAATTCAATCAACTCTTGGACCTTTCTTGTCCAGGTTTCCGGAACCTCATCCGAAGAGTGGATGTGGAAGAGTTGTGAAAGTGGAAGTTTGCTACCTGATGTGAAGAAGGTACTCTGTGGAAGAGTTGCAGAGGGAGTGATTCAGCATCTCCTTGCTCAGCTTCTTCATCATCAATCTTCAGTGTCTTCTCAGACTCTTCTTCTGTTTCATTAAGCACAAAGTTTGAGATATCCCTAGAGAGGGAATCTCTTTCTTCAACTTCATCTTGTTGCTCAAAAATAGCTACTGGAATTTCAGTGTCCTCCAGTGTGGCTATTTGAGTTTCTCTTTCAGCTTCTGCATAACTTCTCTAGATTTCTACAACTTGGACTTCTTGAGCTTCATATGCATTTGTCTCTGGAGGAGTGGACTTCTCCAGATACTCTGCTGACTTCTCCGGAATCTCAAGTTTAGGCTGATTGGAGATCTCACAAGGAGTTGTGATAATCTCTTGAACTTGAGATTAGAGGAGTTGAAAAAGTTCTTCCTCTGATGCTTCCTAGTTCTGTTCTTGTTATGGAGAAGCCGCATTCTCCTGGACAGCTTCAGCCAGATTAGTCTCAAAAGCAGTGGAGGTTTCCAGAAAAACTTGGAAATCCTCTGTTGTGGCTTCCATATTGGTCTGTGCTTCTGTGGTAAGAGCCATCTGGTCTTCTGTGGCCTTTGAGAAGATTAGCGTGTAGACTGAAGGATCTTCATCGTCCACTTCAAATTCTGAGACTGGTGTGGTGGCCAAGTATTCCAGATGCAAATCTTCATAGTTTCTTTGCCATAACGAGTCAACATCCAGGATTTGCTCACAGTAATAGTTGACTGGCAGACCCAAGCATCTCTTGATGATCTTTTCATTTTTCAGTTGTTGGTCCCATTCCAATAACTGCTCTGCTGAGTTTCCAACCTTCCAAGCTCTCCAGTCATAATAGAGCTGCATGAATTGGCTCTCTGCATCATTAGTTTGAGCCTGTAGTGAAGGAGTTGGAGAACTTTGAACTTGGGAAATTTCTTCATCAAGTTGCTGAGGGCTCTGGTTGTGTGCAGAGTGTTCCTCAACTGGCTCCTTTCCCACCAACTCATCCGGGTTGATATTTTCAGATGTGGAGGGAGAGGTGATTTTCCTTTTCGTCTTTCTTTGAAGTTCCCCTTGGGCAGAAACTTCTTCTTCTTCTTCTTCCAAATTCACCACTGCCAAAATGTGTGGTGCTTCAGCACTAGGAGAGGGAGACACCACTTACTTCCTCTTTACTGACTTCTTCAGACTCATGATAGGGACATTGTTTGAAGAGCTTTCCTCTACAGTTGCACTAACACCAGCTCTGTTTTCCCCTTTGGAAGACAGATAGTATAGCCAATATCTGGCATCATACTTCTTGCCTTTAGAGGCAACACCCATGGACTCCAAAATGTACCCAAGGTACAGTCCTTGACACAAGTATTTCTGTTTGGGCTTTCCTAAGTGCTTGGAAATGAAATTGAAGAAATGTGTAGCCCAATTTACCTTAGATTTGGTAATGAGGGCGTTGATGATGAAGGCCCTCTCTTGAGTGATGTCATCAGCATGTCCTCCGCTTACTCATTCAAGGCATGCAATGACTAGTTCCAGAACCAACTTGTAGTCGTTCTTCAAGTCTGCTTTCTTCGCTGGGCCAGAGGGGATTTGCCCAGAAATCCCAGTGGTCTTCCAATCCAGATTCTTGGCCGGAAGTCTCCCAATTTCACTTCCAGAATTGGGAAGATGAAGCTCCTTCTCCAATTTCTTCTGTGAAATCTTCACTTTGGTCCCTCCAACAGTGGACTTGATAATTTGAATCGTCCTCTGTGGATTTTTCTTCGATTGGGCAGTCTTGACCTTTCCATTCCTGTAGAATTCTAGAACTTCATCTTCATATTTGGAGTGAATCTCCATATGAAGGAATTTGGAGAGTTCTTGAGCAGCAATCATCTCTAGATAGGTCTGATAGAACGTCAGTGAAGAGCGCTTGCCTTCCAATTTCCGGAAATGGACAATAGCGCAAACAATCTTCATTTTCACTGAAATTTTAGTGTAAGAATCCGAAGAATTCTAGGGTTCTTGAGAATTCTATCAGAGGGTTCTTGAAGAAGACGACGAAGATTTGAATGGGCTGAGTGGGCAGTTGAGATCTGAATATAGTGGCGATTGGGTTTAATTTCAGAGATTTATGCGCCTAGTGGCGATTGGGATTTAACTGTTCCCAAGGCCACGTGCAAGCTGAATACTTTGACAGACGTGGAAAGTGGACTGCCACGTGTACCGCACTCAATCTAATTGAATTAGACCTATTTTTTGAAGCAAAACGGAGAACTTGGCTTCACTTAGTGGTTTTGTGAAGATATCCGCCAATTGTTCCTCAGTTGAGATATACTCAATTTTGATATCTTTCTTTTCCACATGATCTCTGATGAAGTGAGGCTTGACGTCAATGTGCTTAGTGCGAGAATGATGCACTGGATTTTGTGAGATAGCTATAGCACTTTGATTGTCACAAAAGATTGTCACTTCCTTTGTTTTGACTCCATAATCCAGTAGTTGTTGCTTTAACCACAAGATCTGAGCACAACAACTACCAGCAGTAATGTACTCTGCTTCTGCTGTTGATGTAGAGATAGAGTTCTGTTTCTTACTGAACCAAGAAACAAGATTTCTGCCAATGAATTGACAAGTATCAGATGTACTCTTTCGGTCAACTTTGCATCTGGCAAAGTTAGAATCTGAGTATCCCACTAACTCAAATGAACTGCTCTTAGCATACCATAAACCCATGTTCTGAGTTCCTTTGAGGTATCTAAGAATCCTTTTGGCTGCTATTAGATGACTTTCCTTTGGCTTTGACTGGAATCTGGCACAAATACCTACTGCATATGAGATATCTGGACGACTTGCAGTAAGGTAGAGTAGAGATCCAACTATTCCTCTGTAGAGAGTTTGATCAACATCCTTTCCATCTACATCCATATCAAGCTTGGTGGATGTGCTCATGGGGACAGAAATGGATGACTTCTGATCAACTTTGAATTTCTTGATAAGATCTCTTGTGTACTTGGCTTGGTTGATGAGAGTCCCTTCACTTCTCTGTTTGATTTGAAGACCAAGGAAGTAGTTGAGTTCCCCCATCATGCTCATCTCAAATTTTCCTTGCATGAGGGTGGGGAACTTGGTGCAAAGAGCTTCCTTAGTAGAGCCAAATATGATGTCGTCCACATAGATTTGGACTAATAAGAGTTCTTCTCCATCTTGAAGTTTGAACAAGGTCTTGTCAATGACTCCTTTGATGAATCCATTGTCTATAAGAAATTGAGACAATGTATCATACCAAGCTCTTGGTGCTTGTTTGAGTCCATATAGCGCCTTTTTGAGTCTGTACACTTGATCACCTTTAGTGTGTAACTCAAATCATGGAGGTTGTTCCACATAAACTTCTTCCTCTAGGTTTCCGTTGAGAAATGCGCTTTTGACATCCATTTGATAGAATTTGAAGTCCTTATGAGCAGCAGAGGCTAGAAACAGCCTTATAGCTTCAAGTCTAGCAACTGGAGCAAAGGTTTCATCAAAATCTATTCCTTCTTCTTGACAATAACCTTTGGCAACCAACCGCGCTTCGTTTCTGACAACAACGCCGTTTTCATCCATCTTGTTCCGGAAGACCCACTTTGTCTCAATGACATGTTGATGATTAGGTCTGGGAACAAGTTTCCAAATGTCATTTCTGGTAAATTGGTTGAGTTCTTCTTGCATTGCATTGATCCAATCAGAATCAGCTAGAGCTTCTTCAATGCTTTTTGGTTCCACTTGTGAAATGAAACAAGCAAGCATGGCTTCTAGATTCTGTTGAGCACTCCTTGTGCGAACGCCTGATTGAATATCTCCAATAACTTGTTGAGGAGGATGATCCCTTAACCAACGAAGATTGTGTTGATTAGGGTTGACTCATTGATCTAGTTCAGCTTCTTGTTGAAAAACAGAGTTTGTTGGTGATTCCGGATGGATTGGCATTGGGTCACCACTCCGGAATTGTCACCATTTGAGTGATCCGGAATAATGGAAGGTTGGCCATGATTTCCGGTAGGCTCAGCACCGTCGGAATCCGGATTTCTTTGTGAAGTCTTCAGTGGTAGACTTCCGAATGGAATGAACTCCGTAGGCTTCATTCTATCTCCTTTATTGATCTCTTCATCCTTGTCTAAGAGATCCAGAACCTCGTGATCATGCTTTGATGGCTTGTCAACCACATGTTTTTCATCAAAAATAACATGTATTGACTCTTCTGTGATCATGGTTCTTTTGTTGAAGACTCTGAACGCCTTGCTCACCATAGAATATCCTAGGAAGATGGCCTCATCTGATTTCTCATCAAAGGTGTTCAGATGATTCTTCCCGTTGTTTAACACAAAACACTTGCTCCCAAAAATATGGAAATATGATATATTAGGCTTTCTCCCATTCCATGGTTCATAGGGAGTTTTGTTGTGCCTTTTATAAATCATACTCCTATTTTAAGTATAGCAAGTTGTGTTGACCGCTTCAGCCCAAAACCTCTTTGCAAGGAAGCTTCTGCTAGCATGGTTCTTACTCCTTCTTTCAAGGTTCTGTTTCTTCTTTCAGCTACACCATTCTATTGAGGTGTTCTTGCTGCGGATGTTTGATGAAGAATTCCGTTTTCTTCACAGTAATGAATGATGATTTCATTCAGGAATTCTGTGCCTTTGTGAGATCTGATCTTCTGGATGGTGTGACTTGCTTGGTTTTGAATCAGCTTCATGCAGTTTGTGAGCTTCCCTTGAGTTTCCTTCTTGTTGTTGAGGAAGATTGTCCACGTGTATCTTGAATAATCATCAACTACTACCAGGACATATTTCTTTCCACTCAGACTTATTGGTGTAATAGGGCCAAATAAGTCCATGTGAATAAGGCTTAGTATCCTTGTAGTTGAGGGTGCCGGTTTTGCCTTAAAAGTGGACTTGACTTGCTTTCCTTTCTGGCAAGCATCACAAATACTTTCCTTCTTGAATACAGCTTTGGGAAGACCTTCTACTAACCCTTCTTTGGATAGCTTGTTGAGGGTTTTGAAGTTGAGATGACTCAACCTCTTATGCCAAAGCCATAGAAGGTTAGTGTCACCTTTGCTGATTAGGCATGCTTCCTTGACATCATCCCATATCACTTCATAGGTGTTTCTGATTCTCTTCCCAGTGAGAATGACTTCGTTTATGGAGATGATCTTGAGGGATGCCATGTCCTTGCAGAATTCCAGAGAATAACTTTTATCACAAAACTGACTTATGCTAAGAAAGTTATAGTTGAGACCTTCCACATAAGATACAGCTTGGATGGTTAGTCCCTTGTACACCAGTCTTCCTAGCCCTTTTGTAAGGCCAAAATCATTGCTTCATCCAAAAGTAACTCTTGGACCATCATAGGGGATTAGATTGCTCAAAAGGCTCGCATCACCCGTCATGTGTCTTGAACAGCCACTGTCTAAGTACCAGACACCTGGGTACTTAGTGGCTTCCTGCATTAGAAGGAGGAAGGTTTTGGTACCCAATTAAGTTTGGGTCCAGAATAGTTAATGGTGTGTGTCCCTACATCAAGTTTGAAGTTGAAGGGAATTTTCCTTGCAGCCCTAAACTTGTTGGGGTTGTAGTCATAGTTATAGGCATAAAACTTCCTACGTGCAGGTGGTGCAATTTCCTGTTTCCTCCTAGCAAACCTAGGTTGATAAGACCTATAGTTTTGTCTAGGTTGTGCATAGTGTGGCCTGTGTCGGTTGTAAGCATACTTAGGTGGAACAAATAGTTTCTGGGGTGCAGGATGACTATATCTTGGCATAGTTCTCCACTCAGAATTTCTCGGAAAACTCCTATCTACCCCATAGTGAGTATAGCCTCGTGTATAGTGGGGGTTAGAAGGTTTTCTTCTGAAATTGTTTCCTTTTTGAGGTGTGTCCATCTTCCTATAGTTCTTAGGAGGGACTACCTTTTTGGGAACATCTGTGGGTTTCTCCTTCTCCTTTCCTTTCTGCTTATTGGGTTTGGTAGTAAGTTTGGGAGGGATAAAAGTTGTTTTCCCTTTCCTTTTGGAACTGGAGGGGTCAAAACCAAGTCCTTCACGACCCTTATGTTTGGTCGTTTCAAGAAGCTTATCCACTGCTTCTTTAGACTTTAGTGTCCCTAGCTCCTTGTTGAGGGATTTCACCTTTTCAGAAAGAGATTCATTCTCAGCCTTGAGTTGAGTGATCTCACTTAGTTGACTTTTCCAACTTTCAGTCACCTTGAGATTCTCTTCACTCAACAGCTTGTTCTCTTCTGTTAAGGATGAGTGTTTAAGATTTATTTCCTCAAAATCTTCCATTATCTTTTTGAACTTGTCAAAATGATTTTCAGAATTTGGTATGATTTCATAAGAAGATGAGCAGGAGGTTTGTGATGTTACCTCTTGTTCAGCATCATCTTTGGCCATTAGGCAGAGAGTGTCATCTTCTGACATGGTCCACCGATCCTCATGGTTGGACTTCTCAGCTCTGCGCTCCATGCAGACGAGGGCTTCTTCATCCGAGCTTGAGCTGGATGACTCGTCACTTTCAGCAGCTACCATTGCCTTCTTCTTCTTCTCGTTTCTTTCTCTTTCTCCGTACTTCTCCACTTTAGGATACGGGCATGCTGACTTCTAGTGGCCAGGCTTCCTGCAGTTATAACACAAATAGGATTCAGGAGGGGAGTCACTTACCTGTGGCTTTCCCTTGGATGGCCTTCTGACTGAGTCAGCTTTCTTGAAGAACTTCTTGAACTTCCGGAATTGCTTGACCATCATGGCAAATTCCTCATCGTAGTTTTCCATTTTTGAATTTGACGGATGGTTAGAGGAAGGTGTGTTACAGTTCCTTGGGCATGTCCCTTCACTTGATGGGACTCTTGGGGTTGTCATCAGTGCCATGGGAAATGGAGTGACTTGTTCTTCCTTCTTCTTCTTCAGCTCATGCTCATAGGTTCTGAGCTCATCAAGGAGACCTTAGACAGTGTAGTTCTCCAGGTTTCTTCCTTCTTCCATGGCTATGGCTTTGGTGTACCACTCAGTTAGAAGAGATCTCAGTAACCTTACATTCTTTTCTTTGGGAGAAAGAACGTGGTTAAGTGATGCAAGATCATTCAGGATTTTTTGGAATCTTTCATCCAACATATCAAATGATTCTCCGGGAAGAATTTTGAAGCTTTTGAATTTCTCGAGCAGAACCTCTATTTTCTGCTTTCTTAGGTCCTCTCATCCCTCACACAGCTTCCCAAGACCTTGCCATATCTCCATGGAAGTCTTGAGATGCTTGATCTTGGAGAAGGTGATGGGATCAAGTGTCTTGAAGATGGCTGCTTTGGCGACGTTGTCCAGATTGTGCTTCTTGCAATCTCTATCATCCCATTTCTCCTTGGGCTTTGGAATGTACTGGACAACATCAGGATTGGCTGGATTCCTCTCAGGATTCTCCATTTGGATTTTTAAAGGTCCATCTTCAAGCACCACCCACATGCAATCATGTAGAGCGTAGAGGTGTGCTTCCATCATGATCTTCCAATCATCATAACCTAGAAGAGAAACTTGGGCAAACCGTGATCCATATTGTTCACCATTATGATCGCTTCTCGTTAATTTAAATGTAGATAGTGAGAAGTAAGCTCTGATACCAATTGGTGGTCCCAAAGTGGTGAGATACAAAGTCTAGAGGGGGGTGAATAGACTTTGTTGTAAATTAAAAACTTTTTCGTTTCTTTTTGAAAACGTGAAAATGAGTGTTTAATCTAGAGTTCTTGTGAACCTTAGATTAAGTGCGGAAGTTGGTGGGTAATTGAGCAGTAACCAATATGGATGGGTTAGTTTTCACAGTTAATATAGTAGCAAGTATGAGTAAAGATAAAAGAGAGAGACACGCAAACTTCAACGAGGTTCGAAGGTGGGGTAATCCTTCTACGTCCTCAAAATCCACTATGTAGTTGGTTGTTGAATAATGAACCAACAATTACACTTGTGTGAATTTCTGCACGGTATATCTTCGCAAGCCTAATGTTGCTACTGCACTCGTGCTGGCTTTGGTTTTCCTTCGAAGGTCACGCTTCCTCAACAACTGCAAGATCCGAACAATAGGACTTGCAAGATCAACTTGTAAGAAAGTTGATGTATCCCCTTTTTAATCAAGAAGTTTGGTTAAAAGTTATATCCTTCAACGTGGTGTGGTACTTGAGGCAAGGAAACCTTCAAGTTTTTATACTATAGTTCTTTGGAAGGAGGAGAAGTTTGCTTCTGGATAAGGAGTTTAGAAATCTCTCTTTATCAAGCTTTGTAGTTTGAGATTGCTTCGTTGTGTTCTCTGCTTTCTATCACATATATTTCTCCAGTCTTCCAAGGATGCTATATATAGCTGGATTGGGTAATCTATCCGTTGAATCAAAATAGACTATCCGTTGCATTTGCTGGCTTCAATTTTGAATGAAGATTGTGATCGAAGATTCATCATTGGAATGGGTGTTTGGACGTACCCAATTGTTTGAGGATGGATTCCTTTTTCCACAGAATCCGTCTTCTAGCAGTTGTTCAAGAATTCTAGACTGTAGCTCCATACTCAGTTTGTCATCTAGTGCTTGTTTAGGAATTCTGGGCGAGCTCTTTAATTTGAGAGATCCAGACTTTGTCTTTAAGTCATTTGTTTTTGAATCAGCATAATTATCTTTAATCTAGCCGTTGAAAATCAAGAGATTGATTTTTCTAAGTCTTTTTCTCACTTGTCTGCTTTTAAGAATTCCGGTCTTTCTTTGAGGCATCCGGTTCATTGCTGACAAATCCGAAAAAGTCATTCATAGACTTCCAGGTGAGAAGAGATCCGCGCTAGTCTTCCGATTCGGATGACTTAGCCTTCAGCGGGTGGTGGCGAGACGTCCGGTTATCATGTAGTGTTCTGGATTAGAGAATCTTCAATTGCTCTGAGAATTCCTTAGTTGTCTCTGACATTTCCGATGAAGACATCCAATTTCCATATCACTGAATTTGATTAAGTCTTCAATCATTGACATCAAACCACAAAGTGAAATATCACAAATTTATTGGATATCTCAAGAACTCAGTTTTAACAATATTTCTAAAAAGAAAAATTACATTGAATATTGGGGGAGACCTAAAGTCCCTATTACAATCTAAATACATCATCATCAAAATCTATAATATTTTTCCCAACACAAATTACAAGATAAAATGGATTAAAGAAGTGTATTGGATGGTGTGTAAAAATGAAAGTGGACAAATACTCTGGGAAAGAGGTAGTACTATCTAACCATACCATGATTATAACCATAACAATTCATGCGTTCTAACCCACAAGCTATCAATAATCCAATCAAACTATCACACGTAGGGTTTCACATAAATCAACAGTAATGATTCTACGAACGTTAGATTCAAACCTATAGATATAACCTAGTGTTAGATGTCTACGTACTCACCTAGAATTCGACAAACAAACTACGAAGAACGAATCTAATAAGCGGGGTGATGGCACAACTTCTCTTCTTCCTTCTTTCTTCTCTTCTTCTCTTCTTCTTCCTCCTTCTTCCACTTCTTCGGCTCAATCTTTGCTGCTCTGCTTCGTGTTTCTGATTGGCAAGAGGAGACGAGGGGGTTGAGAGTTACGTACACATGGGGTGTGTGGCATGGGTTTAGGCGCTTAGGGTGTATTTATAGTTATAGGGTTTTGGGCTCTGTAATTAAATAACGTACCTCAATATAAAATACGCTTTTCGGGCTAACTTGCTCCAAATTCAAATCTGTTTGTACCGTTAGTTTTGTCTTGTCGAACCCTACACATTGGTATAATTTCTATATTTTATTAATGAATATTTAAAATAAATTTCAGGTTCATCTCAATAATTAATTAATTAATTAATTAATTTTTAGAGGCTGGGTTTCAAGGTGTTACAAAGTTTGTGTGAGGGTGGTGGATGTCCCCTCCTCCCTCTATTACAATCTTTTTATATAGAGTGAAGTAGGCTAAGTAAGGTAAGTAGCTGCTACTCTAGCGCGGGCTCAACGCCCATCAATGCCAATACATGGAAGCAACCGTTTAACTTGATCACCGGAATTGAATAATCTGAAATTGAAATGGAACTGATCTAAAAAGTGAAGACCTGATTTATAACCAAATAATCGAAATGATCCAAATTAAACTAAAATCGAACTAAATATATCCATACCCGATTTAAATTTGAAGCCGATTTGATCTGACCGATTAGATCCGAAACCGATTATATCTGAAAACAGTTTAATCTAAAACCGATAAGACCCATAGCTAATAAGATCTGAAACCAATAAGACCCGAAACTAATAATATCCAAAACTGATTATTTCCGAAATCGATTCTGCCTGACAATAAACATATTATATTTGTGTACATTAGTAAACAATTACATTAATGTGATTTCAAATTTTTATTTTTATTTTACCATTTGAACTAGTTATATATTTATTTACTTACTCCCTATGTCCAAAACGAATAACTTTATCTAACCAAAATGTAAAATTTCATATGTTTTAAATTTATTTTTTATAAATTTGTATAAAATGAACAACACAACTTACATAAAAATGTTAGTTAAAATATATACTAAGTAGAGCACGGTTAACAATATTTTTTCAACCCCCTTTCATGCAATATTGTGTGGTTGGCGAAACATGTGCTTTGAATTACATTTAGTTCAAATTTTATCTAATTGCATTTAATTTCACTCAATTTAAATATATTTTAACCAAATTATATTAGTTTTATATGAGAACTAAATACGGTTTTCTTTCATAGTTCATAATCTAAATTTATAAAGAGATGACTAAAAAGATAAAAATTGAAGATATTTAGGACGAAGGGACTATAAAATATGATGAGATAATAAATTGATGACAGATTGATAAATGCGATATGACAAAAAATGAATGGATAATTAAGCTTTAATTAGAAAATACTCCGTAATATATATGCAAATACATCCGAAACTGAAATACACACGAACCGAAATATATCCAAATCAAAATATATATGAATCGGAATGTATCCGGAATCGATTCGAACCAATTAACATTCAAATCGAATCTGAATCGACCGAGAACGGAACCAGAATCGAAAATGGATAGAACCGAACTAAATGCGAACCGATCCAAATCTTATCGAATTATTCCAAACTAGCACCGATCCGATTGATACGATTCCCGGAGGAGGTATTAAACACACACATAATTACATAGGAGCGTGTTACATGTACCCCAAAATTTGTACCTCATTTGTACACCAACGGTATGCACCAACAATTTGATGGTTCACACTGACACAAAATATTGGTGCGTTAACAAAAAGGGAGAAAGACCAAAATAGGACTAAAATATTGAAAATATACCAAAATAGGAATTCCATGTTTTTATTCTTGAAATAGGAGTTATATTACCATACATGGTCATATACATTACCAAAAAATTACCACAGTGCAAAGTTCTATTTCGGGAAAAAAAATATGAAAGTCCTATTTTGGTATTTTTCTCTATGTTTTAGTCCTATTTAGGGTGATTTCTATAACAAAAATTTACATTGACACAAAATGTTGGTGCATTAACAAAATTTAGCATTACACCAGCACAAAATGTTAGCGCATTCCTGCGGTGTACAAAATATGGTACAAATTCTGGGGGTACAAATAGTTTTATCCAATTACATAACAGCAGTAGTGGGTCAGTGGGTGCAGTTTTTTTGCTCTTCAGGGTTGGATCGGGCTATCCATCTAAGCCCGCGGCAGGGATCATTCCGCTTCTATCCCCAAAATTATGTATCCTTTTCCGGATTTTACTTCTCATGTGCCCCAGAAATTAATTGTATACGACCTCTCCCAAAATTTCTGTATTCTTTTCAGTATTTAGCTTTATTGACATCTAACGATTTCTTCCGAGTTCGGAATTCAAAGAATCGAAGAATAACAGTGGATACCTGATGGGGAATCGCAAATCAAAATCATCCAAAAGGAAAAGCTCTGAGGTTCTTCTCGTCCTTATCTTTATGAAATATGCATACACAGATAATTCACACTTGAGAATGCTAATCTTGATTGTTTAGAATAGGTTTTGTATGTGTTGATAAAACAGTTGATTACTGAGGTTACTCAAGCTATATCGAATATATTTGAGCTTTATTGCTTAAAATGTACTCTCTTTGTTCCAAAATAGATCATAGTGTTACTGTTTCAGCATCACAACATCTTTTCTTTATTTGAGTGTTTTAATTGATCGTATGATAAAATAAAATATACTCCGTATTTGACTTGTTTTGTAAACTTTTGACGTAGTTCCAATTTGTAAATGCAATGAATTTTTAAAACATTGGGTTTTGCATTGTAATTTTGTCCATGTAATCCATTGGGAGATAAATCATCCTATGTGCTTTTTCCATCTAACGATTTTCATGACTTGTTTATAATGGGCCCTTGTGAATGATTCTATCTGTGTTGTAAAAATGTATACAGTTTTGATGAGCTGCATTTTTAGGTTATTCGAAGTAAAAAAAGTAGAAAATCAAAGAAGAAGCTTTCACGCCGCCGCCATTCCATTTCATCTTGTTCCGATGATGATTCCGTAAGTTCAATATCCTTCTACTCATCTAGTTCAGATGAGGATTATAGAAGCAGGAAAAGTCATTCACTCTCACGTGCTGATGTGAAAAGTAAGAAGAAAAGGGCTGAGGGGAGGGCATCATCCAAACGAAAGAAAAGGGATGAGAAGGGGGTATCCTCTAACCAAGAGAGCAACGAGGATTGCAAACCTTCAAGGAAGAGGAAAAAGTCGAGGAGTAAAAAGCGAACTGAACATGAGAGGCCTCAAAAGAAGCAAAGAAGAGATTCAAGCATCAGTTCTGCTACTAGTGATTCTTTGAGCTGCTCAAGTTGTGAATTTGAGCACAGTAGTAGCAAGGAGATTGAGTTTGGGTGCAGGTCTGGGAAAAAGATAAGAGACAGGAGAAATCCAGATGTACATAAAGTTGAAGCTAAGGAAAGTGGAAGCAAGTCGGCCAATTCTCTTTCAACTGGGGACCATTCCAATTTCCACAATGCTAGTCCAATGGGGGAGGAACCTGCGGCTGATAGTTTGAATAATGCTAGGCGCATAAGATCTGTTATTACTGTTATAGAACACCCACTCGAGGAGGAGGAAGAGAATCTATCCAAAATTAATGATGTTGGTAACGGAGCAAGAGAAAATACATTTGCATGCCATTCTGATGCTGTAATTGATACGAGCAATGCTGTACAAAAGATTACAGATAACGAAGGTTTTGATGATGTAATTGGTGAACCCACTTCTCGTGGAAAGAGTGTTGCTAACCAGTGTGTAAATCAGGATGGCTCAACGAACCTTGGGGACTCTGAGAAGGTGTTTGGAGTGAGTGATAGTGTGGTCTTTGTTAATGCAACCACTTCAGGTAGTGAAGACCTTGAGCTGATTTTGAGGCAGAAGGCCTTGGAGAATCTGAGGAAATTCCGAGGCAAGATTCAAGGAGTACCAATAAAGTCTGAAAATGTTAGCAATATGCTACTCAAGGAAGAAGGCTCTAAGGCTATAAAGGTAACCTCAGCTGTGGGACAGAGCAGCAATAGTGGGTTGAGTAAAGAGATCATGCAACCCAAAATGGCTGAAAATTATACAAAAGTCGAATCTCGAGTCACTAGACAAAGTCATATCCAGAAACCCGACGGATATGCACTCTGTAAGAATGTTAGCAGAAAGGATCACATTAATGCCACACCTGCTATCCATGAAAAATCAAAAACAAGTGAACAAGCATCTTCCAATGAAGCTCCATTGGATGGAAAAGATCGTTCATGCAAAAATATTCCAGAGCTGAGTAATGCCACAAATTCTGCTATGGCCAAACCAACTTCTAGCGTTAGAACTTTGGAAGAGCGTAGTTCAAATGACCAAGCTGAGGCCAAGGATGGAGAGCAGTTTCAGCAAAAGACAATGTCTGTCATGAGGAGTGGTGAAATGGTACAGGTAAAACACATTCTGTCTGTTTCCAATTCATCATTTTCAAAGTTGAGGTCATTTTTGAACTGGAATATCATCTGTTTGACCCCATTCATTACTAGGTGAGCTACAAGGTGTACATCCCTAAAAGAGCTCCCGCATTGTCTAGGAGGCAACTCAAGCAGTGATTCAGCAGTTTAATATTCTTCTGTGCAGTGCTATTTCATCAAATTTAGATGACATTATTAATCAACTGGTGACAAATCCTCGCCTGCATCAGGGGTTTTATGTCTTTATTTTTAGCGCATTCTCCTAAATTTAGACATTTCAAGTCGTTACTAATGGTTGATGTGGACTGTAGAAACTAAAAGAGTTTGAAGTTCTACATTGAGGATTGGGTTTAAATGCTTCTACATTTTATACTAACCTCTCAATGCATTTTTTTAATACCCCGAATCTCTCAAGTCACTGCTTGCAGGATTGCCTTAACACTGTCAGTAACCCTAAATTTGAATGGCTAGTTGCTCTCAAGTACACTGTATCATTTTGCCGCATTTTGTCCCATATTTCTAATTTTTGCCACATTCATTCCTGTTGAATTTCCTGACCGAAAAATTATTTGAATACTACTCAGTATGTCCTAACGACCTAACCTTTGGTTGGTTCAAAAGAGTATTTTTGTCGTTGTTGGGTTGCTTGACGAATGCCGGACGAAACACGTCATCATTAGTGTTTGGTATGCAAGAGAAAATGCCGGGTGAGAGACATGTCATGATTAGTGTTACGGGTTATTGAAGTTAAGTTTTTTTTTGTGTTCATCCGTGGCTTCGATCACTAAGAGCACGGACAATGGCAAGACAAAAATAGAAATGCCACACGTGAACGTTGAACATTTCAACCAATAAAAAATAGTCCAGTCATCGTGTGACAAGTCATTATCTTTGTCACTTTTTACATTTTTATGTATTTAATTATAAAAAATTATTTTTTTAATATTTTCATTAAAAATGTCGTAGTTACTATTTTAGATTTTTTATAACATTTTTTGTGCTTCCCTTTTTCATGGTATATTAAATAAAATAAATTATTATAATCGTTGCATTGGCCGAATGGAGTATAAAATTACTCCATCGTCCCCAAAAAATTATCCTCTTTCAAACAACTTGTAAAAGATCATCTATTTTAAATTGTTATTATTTGCAAATTGACTTCTTAAAATGTTAAATTAAAAAAATTTATTGCGGTTACGTTGCATCTCAATTTATTTATACAGTATTTATTAAAAAAAGTATATTTGTAATTACACTTTATATATTACACGAATTTATTTTAAATATCAGACCTGTCACATAATGCGATCAAATCTGTTTTTTTCTTTAATGATTAATATTGTATTTGCACTGTAACTCTTATTTTGGAAATAAAAATATAGAAGTCTGTTAGAAATAAAGATAATACGAATATTGTTATGAACAAAATGATAGAGATATACCTTGATAAGAACACAAATGAAAGATCAAAGTGCAATGAAGAATGAAAAGAGAAGGAATGCAATGAGAGACTAAAGAGATGAATCATCCATTTCAACATATAGTGCCTCTATATATAGGCTTACAAGGGGGAAAAGCAAAGGTCTAATTTAAGGGGATAATCAAAGGACATGGAGAACATCAAAAGACATTTGTACATAACACTCCCCCTTGGATTTTGGATGTTCACCATTTAGGTAGACTTGAGCTTAAGACACTGCCTCGTTAAAACCTTGCCAAGAAAAACCCAATGGGACAAAAACTTGGACGAAGGAAAAAGAGTACAGTGCTTATAATGCTCCCCCGGACATGGCAAAAGATTCTTGAGTTGTCGCATTCCAATACCATTGATCATCTTCCTAAATGTCGTGGTTGGCAATGCCTTTGTGAACAAATCCGCAAGGTTATTGCATGACTGTATCTGACAAACCTCAATGTCTCCACTTTTCTGAAGCTTGTGCGGATAGAAGAATTTTGGTGATATGTGTTTTGTCTTGTCGCTTTTGATGTAGCCAATTTTAATTTGTGCAATACAAGCAGCATTATCTTCATAGAGTAATGATGGAGCCTTATTCAAAGATAATCAAGAAGTTTCTCGAATGTGATGAACCATTGACCTTAACCATGTGCATTCTCGATTTGCTTCATATAGCGCCATTATCTCCGAGTGGTTTGATGAGGTTGCAACTAGTGTTTTCTTTACTGATGTCCATGATATTGCAGCACCACCACAAGTAAAAACATATACACTTTGCGATTTACCCCTATGTGGGTCAGAAAGATAGCCAGCATCAGCGTAACCAACAACTAGTGATTCTGAACCTTTCGAATAAAACAGGCCCATATCGGTTGTTCCACAAAGATAACGTAATATATGTTTAACACCATTCCAATGTCGTCGTGTTGGTGCTGAGCTATATCTTGCCAACAAAATAACCGAAAGGCTATATCAGGTCTTGTACAATTTGCAAGATACACTAGCGCCCCTATAGCACTTAAATAAGGTACCTCTGGACCTAAAAGTTCTTCATTATCTTCTCGAGGACGAAAAGGGTCCTTCTTTACATCTAATGATCGAACAACCATGGGATTGCTCAATGGGTGTGCCTTATCCATGTAAAATCGTTTTAGGACCTTTTCCGTATATGTTGATTGATGGATAAAAATCCCATTTGATACATGCTCGATCTGCAGGCCGAGACAAAACTTGGTTTTCCCAAGATCTTTCATTTCAAACTCTTTCATTAAATAGCTTGTAGTCTTTATTAAATCTTCTAGTGTTCCAACAAGGTTTAGGTCATTTACATATACTACTATGATAGCAAATCCAACTTCAAATTTCTTGATGAAAACACAGACAAATTGGATCATTTATGTAACCTTGTCTAACAAGGTATTCACTAAGACGGTTATACCACATTCTACCAGATTGAATCCGTATAATGATCTCTGTAACTTGATTGAGAATAACTCACGAGCTTTCTGATTGCATGTTTCAGGAATTTTGAACTGAGTACTTTATTCATCATATGTCGGGGTATTAATACATACATAGGGAGGAGGTAAAGTCTAGGTAAACAAGGTAACCAGATATTCTAAATAATAAGAGTAATATATCTGCCATATTTAACACTGTCCCTAAGATATATCATCATTCATTATACACTAACAACATTATGCTACACGATAATGTTGGCTAGGTTCTTTAGGACCTATATTAACTGATACTGTAGGATCAGTTATGCTGCCTCAGTTATCTGGTCGTGCTCGCTCAGTCGACTTCCAAGAAAAAGTCTTATCACTAGGGGTGTTCAAAAATATACGATCCGAAATATCCGTCCACGATCCGGGCCGATCCGATCCGAAAAATGGATATCCGATCCGATATTTTAGCTTGCGGATATTTCGGATCGGATACCTGAAAAAAAATCGGATCGGATATGGATTAAATTTTTGGATTTTTTCGGATAATTGGATATCCGATTTTTTTTGCTATATGTTTTTGGAATTTTATGGATATATATTATGACTATATGTTTAAATGTAATTTTATGTTGATTTTGGAAATCACCCATTTTGGACTTTTTGCATAAGCATTTTAGAATTTTTTGTTTTAATATTGTTTTTTTTGCTTGTTTAGGCAAAATTACAAAAGTTACTCCCAAATTAAATTTGGTATCATTTTTTTATTAGGCCATTACCAAGTGGTGGAATTTTTCTTTTAGTAAATCTATATTGAATTTGATATTTTGGGTTGATTTTGCTATTTTACCTTTTTTTTTGTAAATTTTGGCTAAAAACTAAACTTTTCGGATAATCCAGTGATCCGATCCGAAAAATCGGATATCCGAATTTCGGATATCTGAATATTTTCGGATCGGATATGGAATGAGTTTTGCATGATCCGAAATTTTTGGATATCCGAATTTTCGGATCGGATCGATCCGGTTGAACACCCCTACTTATCACCATATGTGAACACATTACCAATCTAATTTCACCCTTAAATTTTGGTATTGCAGGACCAAGTACTTCTTCGTCCTCTTCTGGGAGGCGATTAGAATGTTATGAATATATATATATGAATGAACAACCATGGGTACGTTCAAAGGATGAGCTTTATTCATATTTCAACGTGTTAACATCTTCTGGATGTAGTTTAACTTATGGACAAATGTGCCATCATATAGGTGTTTAAAATACAATCCAAAGTATAATTTATGTCATGTCAAGATCTTCCATCTCAAATTCTCTCTTCAAGAGTTCAACAGTTTTTTTTGTTTTCTCTATCTCTTCAGGAGATCTAATGATATTTATACGTCGACGTAAACTGCTATAATAAAGAATATTGAGAGCGATCCTTGAATGACAACACATAGGTTGATTTCAAATTTGTATCTTTCTTTTTCGAGATATTCACTGGGTCAATTGTACCACATACGACCAGATTACTTAAAACCATTCCACGATCTCTTCACACACATCTCGATGTATTAATTTTATTTCTTTTGGCATTTTGAATCCTTCAGGGATTATTATCACACAGATGTCGATTTCAAGTGTCCCTTATAATTATGTTATAACGACATCAATATCATTTATTTGAAGTCCTTTTGAGATTGTGAGGCCAATTAAAATTCTAAAAGGATATTGCATCCACTAGTGGAGAATACGTTTCCTCATAATCAACTCCTAAGATTAGGGAAAAACCCTTGCCTTACAAGTAGTACTTCATATCGCACAATCTCATTCATTTTATTTCTGTTTATCACAGACACCCATTTTAAACCTATTGGTTTGACGTCTATGGGTGTTCAGACTTCAGGTCCGAAAATATTCCGTTTATCGAGTGACTTATATTCGACCTTCAGGGTCTTTTTCCATTTTGGCAAATCATTTATGTACTATCTACATGTACTCTTCTTTGAGTTTTAGGCATGTAATCTCTTTTATTGATTACATCCATTGCCATAGCATATGCAATAATATCATTAAAACGTGTTTCATTTTGGTTCCATATTGTACAGTATCGTACATAATTAATAGAGATCTCATTTTCTTTCGGTACCGATGTTTCTTTAGAAAACTTATTCTTCTGGAAGCATATTAGTCTCTTCCAGGACATTTACCTCTTCTAGGGTTTCATTTTCTTCTGGAATAGTATTAGTTTTCTTTTAAGACAGTTACCTCTTCTTGGGTTTCACTCATAATCATGTATGTGGTTTCACTAATAGCATTTTTGCTATATATCTTCATTTTCGTGGGTTCTTATCTTTGAAACCAATTATTCTCCCACATAAAATGTTCAATAGTCACTCTTGGGACTACCTTAAATTGAGCGATGCATAAGATGTTGGTATATGTAACTTTG